ATAGAGTCGTATAATGAATCAATAAAAATTTAAATTTGCAAATGTAGAATTGTACCATAAAAAAACTTATCTTTTAAAAAAAAGATAAACAAGATGCCAAGTCCATGCGCCATGTGAAAAAGTGTTAAACAAAAAAGTATTTTTAAGTAAAAAAATCTATCAATTGACAAAAATTTATGTTCTAAAATTAATATCTCTACAAAAAGTAATGTCCAATTATTGCGCGAATAAATAAACATTTTTATAAAAAATTAAAATTTAAAAACTTATGCAAATTTAAAATTAATATAAAATAAAAAGAAATAAAAAAATTTTAGTTAAAAAAACTGGGCGCGCTGCAATGAGTTTAAAAGTAACAATTTAATTTTAATATCATTAGAATATTATTTAGCAGCGCGCCCAGTTTTTTTAACTAAAATTTTTTTATTTCTTTTTATTTTATATTAATTTTAAATTTGCATAAGTTTTTAAATTTTAATTTTTTATAAAAATGTTTATTTATTCGCGCAATAATTGGACATTACTTTTTGTAGAGATATTAATTTTAGAACATAAATTTTTGTCAATTGATAGATTTTTTTACTTAAAAATACTTTTTTGTTTAACACTTTTTCACATGGCGCATGGACTTGGCATCTTGTTTATCTTTTTTTTAAAAGATAAGTTTTTTTATGGTACAATTCTACATTTGCAAATTTAAATTTTTATTGATTCATTATACGACTCTATATATGTCTGCAACTTTAATTTTCCACTGGTACAAGTTTCTACTTTCACTTGGCGCAATTTTTTTTTTATTTCATTACTTTTGTTACGATTGTACATGGGTTTATAATCGATAATTTTTCATACAATTCTATTGTACATGGGTTTGCAATGGATAATTTTTGTTAATGGCGTGCCCTTAACTGGTCGCCTTTTTTTACCTTTTTTTAAAAGTGAGTTTTTAGAGATTATAATAAATGACTCCAATGGTAAAGTATTGTATAATAATTAATTGTTTTTATGTAAACTAGGTGGTCATATGTCACATAAATTGTATGGATATATTGAATTTATACAAAAGAGTGTGTATATGTGTGAGAGAGAAACTTCTTTATTTAATTATTATAGTTAAAAAATTATTGCTAATTAGTTAATCTAGTATGTATGTACTAGTTAATCTATTATGATTTATTCTCGTAGGTATTAATTCTAACGTTGCAGAAGACAATATTCAAAATAAAACTTTAAAACTTTGTCAATAACAACAGTTAATCAACAAGGTAACAATGCAATTTATATCTATTTGCTTCCAAATTAAAACGTTGTTACATATAATTTATAACGAACATAATATGGTTATTTTAATATAATGTATTATTAATAGATTAATATGTATGTATATTTTGTTATATAATGTCATGCCAAAGTTTTGATATTAGATACACGAGCAAAATCTTTAAAAATCCTTAAGAACTATATGTAAATAAAGATAAATTAATCAAACAGATAATTTAAAATTAGATTAAATTCTTTATTTTATTGAACTTTTTGAAGAACTTATAAGGTATCTGTTTATAAATAATTACAATTAAAAATTTTCATAACTTTAATAATATTATAGAAAGCTCTCTATAAACATATAGCATGTATAATAGTTTTGAAATTTATTTTTAAGTATTTTTAAGTATTCTAAGTATTCTATTTTTCTCTTTTGCATCTTTGATATAATTATTGATATTGAAAATAATATATATATATATATATATATATATATATCTATTACACATTAATATATATATATATATATATCTATTATACATTAATATAACATATTAATGTATATTCATTACGTATTACATCAAAAATTATACATTTTGATTTCAGACAATATTTATGAAGACAGTGAGGATTACAATAATGATCCAGATTATGATGTTTCCAATGATTCAAATGATGAATCAAAGTGATAAATATAAGGCCAACTTATCGAGCTGAATATTCGAGATGTTCAGTCAACTACCATTTATTACATGTATAAATTATAAAACTACAGTCATTATATTAAAACTAACGCAAATTACAATCATTCTATAAACGTTTCGACCGCACGCGGTCTTCTTCAGTATAATTATTGAAATATAAATTCTTACAATTCACATAATATCGAAATTTAATTATAGTTATTCAGAATCAAGAGTTTTTGAGCAATTAAATCGCGTGTTTCAATCCGATCCTGTCCAACAATGTTCGCCTCGATTATGATCCCACATTTGTCAGATCTCGGATAGTTTCCGTTGCGATAAATTAACCCATTCCGTTCGCTGCGATTAATTAAAAATTACCGATCAACGATATATTTTGTTCCAGAATTATAATATGTATCCCCTACAATTGGTAGTATGCTTACCTATCATCGTTCTTCTTGACAATTTTGCTACTTATTAACAGTTATTAAGGATGACACATAACAAACCAACAATACAGAAAGACAGCTCATTTTAAACTCTACTTGATCGGAGAGCGTGCGTGTTTATATATGATCTAATATCTATGTTTTACTCGTTAATGTCCTATTTGTCCTATTATTATTTCTTGTTCGCTAATATATCCAAAATATCAAAATACGACTCGCTAAGTAACTCAGTATCTTTGTTTAAATTTAGTCCATTTTTTTGTTCCTTGATATGTAGCATCTCAGAAATGAGTCTTTTATAATAATTATTTTCGTTGTCCATGATCTTAACATTGTCCCAATTAAAAGTATGATGTTCATTTATTATGTGTTCAGAAATTACTGAATGTTTCGTTGAGTCCAATCTAATATTATTTTTATGTTCTTTCATTCGCGTCTGCAATTGCCTCTTTGTTTGGCCTACATAAGATGCATTACAATTATTGCAACTGATCTTATAAACCACATTCGAATTGCATGGATGTTTAGTTTTATCTTTCTGCGCTTTAATAATATTATCCAGTTTGTTGAGACATCTATACCCTACCATACAATTTTTTTTTTACCGAGGAAACAATCATTTCTGAGATCCCATCTATATACGGAATGACAAAGAATTTTTTATTGACCGAGTCATTTCCTATACTTTTTGTTCTTTCTATGTTGGCCTGTCTCTCTATAATGCTCCCCTTAGATATGATGTGTTCTATCCGATGATTAATTTTGTTAAAAATCAGATCAAGAGGGTAACCATTGCTTCTGAGTATATTAATAATTAACTCCAAATTTTTATTAAAAAATAGTGGATGTGATAGCAATAGACATCTGTCTACAAGGTTATATATTATTCCAATTTTGTGGCATAATGGGTGGTTTGAATAAAATGATAACGTCCTTCCTGAGAAGGTTTCTTTTTGATACCAGTCTATATATATTTTGTTATTAATAATTTTAAGTGATAAATCTAAGAAATTCAAGCTATGGTTAACCTCTTGTTCGACCGTGAATTTAAGTCTTTCATGATAGTTGTTAAAATTATTCACAATCTGAGTCATATTAGTCATAGAGGTGGCCACTATTATGTCATCCACATAACGAAAATAAAACAAACATTCCAAATTCAACGCTTTGAGAACTGTATCCTCAAGATCTTGCATAACCAGGTCTGCAATAATTGGTGATAACGGTGACCCCATAGGGGTCCCAAACGTCTGTTTATAAATTATGTCATCAAATGTAAAATATGTAGAAGTCAATATGAATTTTATACCCCCCAAAAATTCGTTTTTCGGTATTTTAGTATTTATTCCAATGTGATCCCATCTATCGTTAATACCGTCAATCGCAAGATCCAGAGGAACGTTCGTAAACAAAGACACCACATCCAAGGAAAACATCCTATCATTCTCATCAATCTTTTTACCAGACAATATGCTGTACAAATCAAAACTATTATTAATATGACTTTTCGCTTTGGGTAGGCTAGTTCGTAAGGTGTTTTGTAAAAACGAAGCCAGCGAGTATAGAGCTGTATCAACCGATGAAACTATGATTCTAACTGGATAGTTTTCCTTATGGATTTTAGGTAATCCATACGCTTTTGGAAGGAGAGAATCACTACAACGTAATTTATAATATTCGTTTTTTGAAATATAATCTTCCTTAAGCCATCTCTTCAACAAATCATTCAAATCGTTCTCTATTTTTTTGCACGGATTTTTTTTAACAATAGTGTAAGTGTTGACATCTTTTAAAACGTTTTCCATTTTGTTAATATAATGAGATCTTTCCATTGCCACCGTAGCATTACCCTTGTCCGCGCGTGTGAATAGAACATTCGGATTGTCTTTACAAAATTTTATTAAATCTCTGTGTGCACCAAGTAATTTTTGTTGACTTACGTCATTTTTATCCTTCGTGTTCAGAAGTTGTGCAAATTTTGGAACCGCGATATTTCTGATCGTTGTGAGATTATTAATATTATTTCGTTTGCTATTACTCTCTATGTCCTTGATGAATTCATGTATCGCTGTTTTTTTACTAATATTCGGAAGACAGAATTTATCACCCATTTGCAACAGATTAGAAACGTTAGGCGGAATGTCTGTGTTGGAAAGATTAACAAACCATTTTTTATTAGTATTTTCCAAAGGGTTAATTGTATCATTGAGAAATTTATTGGCTTCTATGTGTATATTGATCTCCTTGGCATCATTAGTGATTGCCCTGAGAGAATTTTGTGATATTTTCGTCGGTTGTGAAGTTTCAAAATGTAAAGAACAATGTATATCTATAGGTTTGATGCTGTTGATATACTTATAGTGTTGTTTTCTCTTAAGCCAATTGAATTTCTTTTCGTGTGCAGTAACCAATCTGTTGTGGCAATTTTTAAAAGCAATGTTATGATGTTCGAAAATTCTATTCCACGCGAGTACAGGTAAACGATTAAATAACCCGCTGGTGAGATGAAAAATCCTATTTTGTAATGACTCTACCTGTCTATGCAAATCAAAGATTTCAATGCTCATCGCATTTGTTTTGAATTTGTACAACATATTGATGAATCAAATATTTCTATTTCTGAAAGCTTTGATAAAAATGAAAAGTCTAATACTACAAATGATAGTCTTAATACCTCGAAATATGAAGAAAAAGCAAATTGTGATGATACAAATCTTATTGTGCTTAAATCTCAAGAGAAAGGACAAAATAAAAAATATTTTTGCAAGTATTGCAAAAAATTACAAACTAAATTTGCACGACACTTAGAGACTGTTCATAAAAATGAGGAAGAGGTAAAAAAATTTATTTTGCTTCCTAAAGGTAAATATAATATATAATAATCTATACACATCATTTTGAATCAAATGTTGCATTATACATATCTTTATTAAAAAATGTTTATATTATTTTTCTTTTATTTTTATATTATTTTTCTTAGGTAATTCAGAAAGAAAGGCCATCATAGAGACTATTAGAAAAGAAAGTAATTTTATATATAATACTAGTTCGCAGTTTAATACAGGAGAATTGATAGTATCTCGGAGACCTTCGAAAATTAACAAACTTGCATCAGAATATATTTGTTGTCCAAAGTGTAAGGGCTTTTATACAAAAAATAATGTAAGACATCACTTTCAAAATTGTAACAAAAGAAGTATTGGCAGACATGTTATGGTACTTGGTAGAAAAGTACAAGCACGGATACACACTAAAGCCAGTGATATGGTTAGAAAAGTAATCTTCCCAATTATGAGAGATGACAATGTGTGTAGAATAATAAGATATGATGAGTTAGTGATACTTCGCGCAAATAAATTATGTAATAAATTTAGGAATCAACGCCACCATGATATGATAAGAGCAGAATTAAGACTTTTAGGTCGTTACTTAATTTCTATTAAGAAATTTAATTCAAATATCACTAATTTTGCCTCAATATATCAACCGTGCAATTATGATTCATGCATTTTAGCTGCTAAAGATGTAGCTCAATTTAATCCTGATACTAATAAATTTAAAACACCGTCTGTCGCTACACGACTTGGTACGCTCTTAAAAAAATTAGGAAACATATTATGTACTGAATATATAAAAAAAGATGATAATGAGGGTTTAAGAAAGGTAGAAAATTTCTTGAAACTTTTAGAAGAAGATTATGGAGCAACAATAAATAAAATAGCAGAGGAAACTGTAACGCAAAATAAAAGACATAATAAAATTGAATTACCAGATATGGAGGATATCCAGAAATTATATAATTATTTAAAAGAAGAAAGAAACATATTGTATAGTGAGCTTCTTAAATCTTATAATTACAGTACATGGTTAGAATTATTAAAAGTTACGCTTATTTCTATGCAAGTTTATAACAGAAGAAGAGCAGGTGAAATAGAAAAAGTTCTAATAGAAGATTACAAAAGTTTTAAAAGTGTAGGAGAACACACAGATTCTGAAGTGTACAATTCATTATCAGAGTCTGGAAAAGAGGTAATATTATTTTAATAATTATTAAATAAATAAATTATTGCGTTAAAATATATTTTATATCTAATAATTTATATTTTTCTTCCTTTAAATTATTTATATTTTATTAATTTTAATGCATAAAATTTATAATACTTTTATTATATTTATTCTATAATAATTTTTCTTTTATGTATTTTTTTCTGTTTGTTGTATTAGGCTATTAAAAAATTCGTTACATTTGATATTAGAGGTAAACTAGGTCGTACAGTTCCCGTATTGTTGCATTCACAATTACAAGATTGCATCAAATTATTACTGCAACATAGATTAAATGCAAAAATAAAATCAGAAAACCCTTACCTTTTTGGCATTCCTGGATACGATAAACAAGCATTTGAAAGCGTGCATTCTTATGCGAGACTATTCTTCAAAATGTGGAGCAGCAAAACCTCTTACTTTACGAGGCACCAAACTACGAAAACATATTGCCACAAAATGCATCACACTTAATCTTTCAGAATCGGAAGTTACAGAGTTGGCAAACTTTATGGGTCATGATAAAAGCATACACAAATCGCATTATCGACAGTCAATTCCTGAATTAGATATTCCAAGATTCTCCCGACTTCTAAATCTAGCTATTTTTAATGAGGAAAATGACAATGAAGATGGAGAAATTGAGCAAAATCTTATTTCTGAGAATTTAAATGACTCATCTGAATCCTCTCATTCTGATGATATTGAAATTAATAATAATATACCATCATCAAAAACACCTAAGAAAAAACGAAGCAGTAAGCATATATTTTAAATCATTTTTTGCATTATATAATAAAATTTTTATTTTGTAATTTCTGTTACATTTATAATATATTAATAATATATAATAGCTCTCTTTCTATAAAAAAATAATAACTGTAATTATTACAATTACTAAAATGATAACCTTTTCTTTAATATTTATCTTAACTAATAACTTTAACATTATTTTAATATGCAAAGTGTCCTAGAGTAAACGTATCAAATGTTACTAGCATATTCTTGAAATCATTTTGAGATGAAAATCCTATAACAAAATATCGAGGCTATAATAAGTTTTAAAACATTAAAAGTTAGCTAGTCATTGCGCTATTCAGTCAACTGTATACTGTACAGTCACTGTACATCGTACAATAATAAAGATGATTGAATAACTTTAAATGCTTCTCATTTAAAAACTATTTTAGCCTAAAGATTTTAATATCATAAGATTTTTATTTTAAAATGATTTCAAGAATGAGCTAATAATCTTTCCTGCATTTGATTTTGGACTGCATATTAAGTAAACATTTTATATTATTAATATTTTATTTTATAAATTATACATATGTTTCTTATATAATAATTAGCTGTACTAAGTTATTCAATAAATTAATAATATAATTGCTAGCATCACCATTTGGGCCAACTAAAAGGAAGCGATGGACGCAAAAAGAAATTCAAATAATATTAACAGATTTTTCTCAAGAAATAGAAAAATCACGCTTACCATCTGGAAGAGATATTGAGACTTTAAGACAAAAACATTCATGTCTACAAAAACGCACAGTGCCGCAGATAAAGACATGGCTTCATAATATTATAAGTGGTAAAACAAAAATTCCAAAGATTTAATTAATTTTCATAATATATTATCCTCCCAGAAATATTTTTAATATAAATTTAAATATAAATTATTATTAAATATTCTCAAAATAATAATAACTAGAAGTATAAAATTACTTAACTCAAAAATATTTAAATAAAAAATTTATCAATTTTTATTTTATTTTTAAATATATTAACGTGCTTAATAAAAGTTTTTTGCACAAATTTTATACAACATGATAAAATTAAGTTTCTTGTAATTTGGTTTTAACTATAACTAAGAAAATACAGTTTAAGTACATTTATATGCAAATTTTGTTATAATATATGTGGCTAAACTTTTAGTCTTTTTTATTAGTATGTTAAGCAATAATTTAGTTTTGAAAAAAAGATTCTGGTATTCCAAACTATGAAAGAATTTACAGTATTATGAAGAGATTGTTGTAATAGATATAAGATTACAAAATGTATTATAGTTAATAGAAAAATTTTATATCAGATGAGATTTTGATGTATGTTAAACAGTACAATGTAGTACAATATTTTCTGTTGTTAAATCTGCAAACTATTATAATATTAAAAGATTCTTTCCTTAAAGTGCTATATAAAACTGATACAAGTGATAAGACTGTATTAAGAAAAAGTTAAAATGCATTGTTATGTGATAGGTATAACAAATAAATTATATTTTATAAAATATTGTTATAACAAAATCCCTATAATGTATTACCTCAAAAAAAGAAATACAACTTTGAGTGTGTATTAATAATAAATTTTATGAAAAATATTTATTAATTATTGTTTAATATTATTATTTATTATTTAGTGATTACTTTTACCTTGTAACAGATGCGATAAGATACGATAAGATATATAATACATTACTAATTTACTAATATTTTGATTAATAATTTACTTACAATCTCAAAATATCTCATATTTCCCAAATTCTTAAAAGTACATACATATAAGTTTTATTCAGGGTCAAGATTTAAATATTTGATCGTCTTTCTTGTTGCCTAAAAAAAAAGACTTAGAAATGCGGATACTAAAAAAGAATTGCATAGAAAAGGGTAGAATAATAATATATAAAAAAAAGAATTAAATTACTCGCTGAAATCCTAAGTACAATGTAAGAAATTGTACACAAAAAAAATATTAAATATTTCTTGGCTCTTGTTGCCTATCTTACACTTTAAATTTATATTTATATTACAGAGCCGTGTTAAACTCTTAACTTATACACGCTGGCTTAAAGGCGTTTGTTTATCAACATTATTATAGATATAACAGAGAAAAGTATAGAATCGAAGGGATCTGAATAGCTCAGTTGGAAGAGCAGTCGCCCGGCAAGCGAAAGGTCTCGGGTTCGATTCCCGATTCAGCGACTTTCGGATCTATATTTTTCTCTTGCATTTATTTATTTCCGTAGGGGGGTTAAAGGGTTATTGAAATTAAATCTCAAATATGAGATTATTTCATATTTTAAATCTTGGCAGTGACCAAGTAAAAATTTGGTGCCTTGTGCACAGATATTTAATTCTAACGAAAAAATTTAGTTTCGTTGGGATAGCGCGCTGCCTTCCGCAATTGGCTCTTGTTGCCTATCTTACACTTTAAATTTATATTTATATTACAGAGCCGTGTTAAACTCTTAAATTAAATATTTCCTTTTTAAATTCATATTTGATTAATTATGATACATTCCTTTTTTTTCTCTAGCATAATATTAAAAAAAAACAGAATGGAATAAATTTTCTTCTCTTTCAGTCCGTTCTCTTTCATGTATTAGTGAGCATTTTAGCATATTATAGACTTCAATGCAAAGAAACAGACTATTAAAATTAAACATAGACAGGTTAAACATTTTCATAATAATAAAAAATATTATTTTCCTTAAATTTATTAAATAATATTAATTTTCCTTAAATAATTACATTGATAGAGATTTGCCCATCATAGATCATTTAAACTAATAATGTAACATTCTCAAATAAATCATAAAGAAACATACAAAAGAAGAGCTTTGTAAAGTACGTCGATAGTGTTTAGAAAGCCAAAAATATTAAAGATCTTATAAGATGGCAGCTTTCAGATCTATACATAACAGCAAAATGGCAGTTATCAGACCGTTGACTTTTTGACAAGACCGAAATGAAATCCATTTGATTCATTAGTTCGATAGATATTTGTCAATCACAAGACAAAGTAATTTTTAAAATTATTAAACAAAATTCAGTTCCCATAAGTTTGTCATTTAAATCCGCTTTTGTTCCGCAGATTAACTAAGACCGATGTGCAGAATTAATGTTTTAAGTCACGTTAAACTAATACTGCAACATGTTTCACAGCAAACATTAAATGAAACAAATAACAGCTATATCAGGTATTGGAATTACGCGTAAACGCTGAAACAATTATACTGTTTTGCTCAATTGGTAGATTTCAGGTCTATACATAACAGCCGAATGGCAGTTTCCGATCCATTGATTATTTGACAAGAGATGACCTAAATTCTTAAGTCTGTTTGATTCATTATTTCGATAGATACTTGTCCATCAAGAAAAGATGTAATTTTAAAATTATTTATACAAAATTCAGTTTCCATGAATTCTTCATTCAACCCGATTTCGTTCCGCAGATTAACTAAAACCGATATGCAGGATTAACGTTTTGGATCACGTGAAACCAATATTGCGACATGTTTCGAAGCAAATATTAAATGAAACATATAACAGCTTTAGCAGATATTGGAATTACGCGTAAACGCTGAAAGAATTATACTGTTTTGCTCAATTGGTAGATTTCAGGTCTATACATAACAGCCGAATGGCAGTTTCCGATCCGTTGATTATTCAACAATAGATGACCTAAATTCTTAAGTCTGTTTGATTCATTAATTCGATAGATAGTTGTCAATCTGGAAATAAGTAATTTTCAAATTATTTACACAAAATTCAGTTTCTATGAATTCTTCATTTGAATCCGATTCCGTTCCGCAGATTAACTAAAACCGATGTGCAGAATTAATGTTTTGGATCACGTGAAACTAATACTGAGACATGTTTCTAAGCAAACATTAAATGAAACATATAACAGCTTAGGAGGTACTAGAATTACGCGTAAACGCTGAAAGAATTATACTGTTTTGCTCAATTGGTAGATTTCAGGTCTATACATAACAGCCGAATGGCAGTTTCCGATCCGTTGTTATTCGACAATAGATGACCTAAATTCTTAAGTCTGTTTGATTCATTATTTCGATAGATACTTGTCCATCAGGAAAAGATGTAATTTTAAATTATTTATACAAAATTCAGTTTCCATAAATTCTTCATTCAACCCGACTTCGTTCCGCAGATTAACTAAAACCGATATGCAGGATTAACGTTTTGGATCACGTGAAATCAATATTGCAACATGTTTCGAAGCAAATATTAAATGAAGCATATAACAGCTTTAGTTGATATTGGAATTACGCGTAAACGCTGAAAAAATTATACTGTTATGCTCAATTGGCAGATTTCAGGTCTATACATAACAGCCGAATGGCAGTTTCCGATCGGTTGATTATTCGACAATAGATGACCTAAATTCTTAAGTCTGTTTGATTCATTAATTCGATAGATACTTGTCTATCTGGAAGAAAGGAATTTTCAAATTATTTACACAAAATTCAATTTCTATGAATTCTTCATATGAATCTGATTCCGTTCCTCAGATTAACTAAAACCGATGTGCAGAATTAATGTTTTGGATCACGTGAAACTAATACTGAGACATGTTTTTAAGCAAACATTAAATGAAACATATAACAGCCTAGCAGGTACTAGAATTACGCGTAAATGCTGAAAGAATTATACTGTTTTGCTCAACTGCTAGATTTTAGGTCTATACATAACAGCCGAATAGAAATTTACGATCCGTTGATTATTCGACAATAGATGACCTAAATTCTTAAGTCTGTTTGATTCATTAATTCGATAGATAGTTGTCTATCTGGAAATAAGTAATTTTCAAATTATTTACACAAAATTCAGTTTCTATGAATTCTTCATTTGAATCCGATTCCGTTCCGCAGATTAACTAAAACCGATGTGCAGAATTAATGTTTTGGATCACGTGAAACTAATACTGAGACATGTTTCTAAGCAAACATTAAATGAAACATATAACAGCTTAGTAGGTACTAGAATTACGCGTAAACGCTGAAACAATTATACTGTTTTGCTCAATTGCTAGATTTTAGGTCTATACATAACAGCCGAATGGAAATTTCCGATCCGTTGATTTTTCGACAACAGGTGACCTAAATTATTAAGTCTGTTTGATTCATTATTTCGATAGATACTTGTCCATCAGGAAAAGATGTAATTTTAAAATTATTTATACAAAATTCAGTTTCCATGAATTCTTCCTTCAACCCGATTTCGTTTCGCAGATTAACTAAAACCGATGTGCAGAATTAACGTTTTGGATCACGTGAAACTAATACTGAGACATGTTTCTAAACAAATATTAAATGAAACATATAACAGCTTTAGCAGGTATTGAAATTACGCGTAAACGCTGTAAGAATTATATTGTTTTGCTCAATTGGTAGATTTCAGGTCTATACATAACAGCCGAATAGCAGTTTCCGATCCGTCGATTTTTCGGCAATAGATGACCTAAATTTTTAAGTCTGTTTGATTCACTAGTTCGATAGATATTTGTCCATCACGAGAAAAATAATTTTTAAAATTATTAAACAAAATTCAGTTCCCATAAGTTCGTCGTTTGAATCCAATTTTGTTCCGCAGATTTATGTTTTGGATCATGTTAAACTAATACGGCGACATATTTCTAAGCAAACATTAAATTAAACATGTAATAACAATTTAACCACGTTTTGGAATACGTGTAAATGTTGAAAGTATTATATTATTCTTTTCAATTGGTAGTTTTCAAGTCTACATATGGCAATGGTAGTTTTCAGGTCTATATATGACAGTAGGTTTTTAGTCTATAATATGTGGCTGATATCAAATCATTAATTCTAGGCAAAAGAT